CATTCATCATCCAAGAAACCCAGGATATGGGCCTCCCAACACCCTCCCAAATCCTTATCCCTAACATTCATCATCCAAGAAACCCTGGGATATGGACCTCCACAATACCCTCCCAATTTCTTATCCCTGACATTCATCATCCAAGAAATCCAGGATATGGGCCTCCCAATACCCTCCCAAATCCTTATCCACCTGACATTCACTATCCAATAAACCCAGGATATGGGCCTCCCAATACCTCCCAAATCCTTATCCCCCTGACATATACCATCCAAGAAATCCAGGATATGGGCCTCCCAATGTCCTCCCAAATCCTTATCCCCCTAACATTCATCATCCAGGAAACCCAGGATATGGGCCTTCCACTACCCTCCCAAATCCTTATCCACCTGACATTCATCATCCAAGAAACCCAGGATATGGGCCTCCCAGTGTCCTCCCAAATCCTTATCCCCTGACATTCACCATCCAAGAAACCCAGGATATGGGCCTCCCAGTGTCCTCCCAATCCTTATCCCCCTGACATTCATCATCCAAGAAACCCAGGATATGGGCCTCCCAATGTCCTCCCAAATCCTTATCCCTCTGACATTCATCATCCAAGAAACTAAGGATATGGGCCTCCCAATACCCTCCCAAATCCTTATCCCCCTCCATCATCCAAGAAATCCAGGGACCCTCCCAATACCCTCCCAAGTCCTTATCCCCTGGCATTCATCATCCAAGGAACCCAGGATATGGGCCTCCCAATGTCCTCCTCTCCCCAAATCCTTATCCTGTGACATTCATCATCCAAGAAACCCAGGATATGGGGGCTCCCAATACCCTCCCAAATCCTTATCCCCTATGACATTCATCATCCAAGAAACCCAGGATATGGGCCTCCCAATACCCTATCCCTGACATTCATCATCAAAAACCCAGGATATGGGCCTTATACCCTCCCAATTCCTTATCCTGACATTCATCATCCAAGAAACCCAGGATATGGGCCTCCCAAATCCTTATCCCCTGACATATACCATCCAAGAAACCTCCCAAATCCTTTTTCCACCTGACATTCATCATCCAAGAAATCCAGGATATGGGCCTCGAATGCCCTCCCAAATCCTTATCCCCCTGAAATCATCCAAGAAACCCAGGATATGGGCCTCCCAATACCCTCCCAAATCCTTATCCCCCTGACATTCATCATCCAGGAAACCCAGGATATGGGCCTCCCAACACCCTCCCAAATCCTTATCCCCCTAACATTCATCATCCAAGAAACCCAGGATATGGACCTCCACAATACCCTCCCAATTTCTTATCCCCTGACATTCATCATCCAAGAAATCCAGGATATGGGCCTCCCAATACCCTCCCAAATCCTTATCCACCTGACATTCACTATCCAATGAACCCAGGATATGGGCCTCCCAATACCCTCCCAAATCCTTATCCCCCTGACATATACCATCCAAGAAATCCAGGATATGGGCCTCCCAATACCCTCCCAAATCCTTATCCCCCTGACATTCATCATCCAAGAAACCCAGGATATGGGCCTCCCAATACCCTCCCAAATCCTTATCCACCTGACATTCATCATCCAAGAAACCCAGGATATGGGCCTCCCAATACCCTCCCAAATCCTTATCCCCCCTAACATTCATCATCCAGGAAACCCAGGATATGGGCCTTCCACTACCCTCCCAAATCCTTATCCACCTGACATTCATCATCCAAGAAACCCAGGATATGGGCCTCCCAATACCCTCCCAAATCCTTATCCCCCTGACATTCATCATCCAGGAAACCCAGGATATGGGCCTCCCAACACCCTCCCAAATCCTTATCCCCCTAACATTCATCATCCAAGAAACCCAGGATATGGACCTCCCAATACCCTCCCAATTTCTTATCCCCTGACATTCATCATCCAAGAAATCCAGGATATGGGCCTCCCAATACCCTCCCAAATCCTTATCCACCTGACATTCACTATCCAATAAACCCAGGATATGGGCCTCCCAATACCCTCCCAAATCCTTATCCCCCTGACATATACCATCCAAGAAATCCAGGATATGGGCCTCCCAATACCCTCCCAAATCCTTATCCCCCCTAACATTCATCATCCAGGAAACCCAGGATATGGGCCTTCCACTACCCTCCCAAATCCTTATCCACCTGATATTCATCATCCAAGAAATCCAGGATATGGGCCTCCCAGTGTCCTCCCAAATCCTTATCCCCCTGACATTCACCATCCAAGAAACCTAGGATATGGGCCTCCAAGTGTTCTCCCAAATCCTTATCCCCCTGACATTCATCATCCAAGAAACCCAGGATATGGGCCTCCCAATGTCCTTCGAAATCCTTATCCCTCTGACATTCATTATCCAAGAAACCAAGGATATGGGCCTCCCAATACCCTCCCAAATCCTTATCCTCCCAATACCCTCCCAAGTCCTTATCCCCTGTCATTCATCATCCAAGGAACCCAGGATATGGGCCTCCCAATGTCCTCCCAAATCCTTATCCTGCTGACATTCATCATCCAAGAAACCCAGGATATGGGGCTCCCAATACCCTCCCAAATCCTTATCCCCCTGACATTCATCATCCAAGAAACCCAGGATATGGCCTCCCAAAACCTTATCCCCCTGACATTCATCATCCAAGAAACCCAGGATATGGGCCTCCCAATACCCTCCCAATTCCTTATCCCCTGACATTGATCATCGAAGAAACCCAGGATATGGGCCTCCCAATACCCTCCCAAATCCTTATCCCCCTGACATTCATCATCCAAGAAATCCATGATATGGGCCTCCCAATACCCTCCCAAATCCTTATCCCCCTGACATTCATCATCCAAGAAACCCAGGATATGGGCCTCCCAATACCCTCCCAAATCCTTATCCCCCTGACATTCATCATCCAAGAAACCCAGGATATGGGCCTCCCAATACCCTCCAAATCCAATCCCCTGACATTCATCATCCAGGAAACCCAGGATATGGGCCTCCCAACACCCTCCCAAATCCTTATCCCCTAACATTCATCATCATCCAAGAAATCCAGGATATGGGCCTCCCAATACCCTCCCAAATCCTTATCCACCTGACATTCACTATCCAATAAACCCAGGATATGGGCCTCCCAATACCCTCCCAAATCCTTATCCCCCTGACATATACCATCCAAGAAATCCAGGATATGGGCCTCCCAATACCCTCCCAAATCCTTATCCCCCTGACATTCATCATCCAAGAAACCCAGGATATGGGCCTCCAATACCCTCCCAAATCCTTATCCCCCTGACATTCATCATCCAAGAAATCCAGGATATGGGCCTCCCAATACCCTCCTCCCAAATCCTTATCCCCCCTAACATTCATCATCCAGAAACCCAGGATATGGGCCTTCCACTACCCTCCCAAATCCTTATCCACCTGACATTCATCATCCAAGAAACCCAGGATATGGGCCTCCCAATACCCTCCCAAATCCTTATCCCCCTGACATTCATCATCCAAGAAACCCAGGATATGGGCCTCCCAATGTCCTCCCCAAATCCTTATCCCTCTGGACATTCATCATCCAGGAAACCCAGGGATATGGGCCTCCCAATACCCTCCCAAATCCTTATCCCCCTGACATTCATCATCCAAGAAATCCAGGATATGGGCCTCCCAATGTCCTCCCAAATCCTTATCCCCTGACATTCATCATCCAAGAAACCCAGGATATGGGCCTCCCAATGTCCCTCCCAAATCCTTATCCCCTGACATTCATCATCCAAGAAACCCAGGATATGGGCCTCCCAATGTCCTCCCAAATCCTTATCCCCCTGACATTCATCATCCAAGAAACCCAGGATATGGGCCTCCCAATACCCTCCCAAATCCTTATCCCCTGACATTCATCATCCAAGAAACCCAGGATATGGGCCTCCCAATACCCTCCCAAGTCCTTATCCCCCTGTCATTCATCATCCAAGAAACCCAGGATATGGGCCTCCCCAATACCCTCCCAAATCCTTATCCTGCTGACATTCATCATCCAAGAAACCCAGGATATGGGCCTCCCAATACCCTCCCAAATCCTTATCCCCTGACATTCATCATCCAAGAAACCCAGGATATGGGCCTCCCAATACCCTCCCAAATCCTTATCCCCTGACATTCATCATCCAAGAAACCCAGGATATGGGCCTCCCAATACCCTCCCAAATCCTTATCCCCTGACATTCATCATCCAAGAAACCCAGGATATGGGCCTCCCAATACCCTCCCAAATCCTTATCCCCTGACATTCATACCATCCAAGAACTCCAGGATATGGGCCTTCCAATACCCTCCCAGTGTCCTCCCAAATCCTTATCCCCTGACATTCATCATCCAAGAAACCCAGGATATGGGCCTCCCAATGTTCCTCCCAAATCCTTATCCCCTGACATTCATCATCCAAGAAACCCAGGATATGGGCCTCCCAATACCCTCCCAAATCCTTATCCCCTGACATTCATCATCCAAGAAACCCAGGATATGGGCCTCCCAATACCCTCCCAAATCCTTATCCCCCTGACATTCATCATCCAAGAAACCCAGGATATGGGCCTCCCAATACCCTCCTCCCAATTCCTTATCCCCCTGACATTCATCATCCAAGAAACCCAGGATATGGGCCTCCCAATACCCTCCCAAATCCTTATCCCCCTGACATTCATCATCCAAGAAACCAAGGATATGGACCTCCCAATTCCTTATCCCCTGACATTCATCATCCAAGAAATCCAGGATATGGGCCTCCCAATACCCTCCCAAATCCTTATCCCCCTGACATTCACTATCCAAGAAACCCAGGATATGGGCCTCCCAATACCCTCCAAAATCCTTATCCCCCTGACATATACCATCCAAGAAATCCAGGATATGGGCTTCCCAATACCCTCCCAAATCCTTATGGAAGTCCAGCTCGGAATCAAGGGGAAACCTTTCCTTTCCTTCCAGAACCCCAAGGACCACAGATGCCACAACAGCATGAATCCCAAAGAGCCGGAGGAAGACCAAGAAGAATGATGGAAGATTCCCTGTATGAGAACCAAGGACAAAGAAATGACGGAACTCGACCGAAGTCCTATCAGAAGACCAGGTCACAATCCATGGGAAGACCTTCTTATGACAAACAGGTTTCACAGACATCTGACAAGGACACCCTGGATATTTGTACTTTTTTCTTAAAAGGGAAGTGTTGGTATGGCGACAACTGCATGAGACATCACAAGGACATGATATACCAGTGGCAGTGTCGGAAGAAACAAGGAAAAGCTGACTGTCGGCAAGAATGGAAGGATTTTGATGAGGAAACTAACACCAACATAGAAAGGAACTTTTGTCAGCCAGACAAAATTGAGTTAGTATCCATTTTATCAGTAATTAGCAAATTGTTTTCAATTGTCTTCAGCAAACCTGATTGTTTTCACTTGTCTCTAGCAAGCCTGATTATTTTCAACTGTCTTCAGCAAGCATAATCATGATAATTGTTTTCAATTTTCTTCAGCAAGCATAATCATGATAATTGTTTTCAACTGTCTTCAGCAAGCATAATCATGATAATTGTTTTCAATTTTCTTCAGCAAGCATAATTGTTTTCAAGTGTCTTCAGCAGCATAATTGATTTCAACTGTCTTCACCAAGCATAATCATGATAATTGTTTTCAATTTTCTTCAGCAAGCATAATTGTGTTCAATTTTCTTCAGTAAGCATAATTGTTTTCAAGTGTCTTCAGCAAGCCTGATTGTGTTCAACTGTCTTCAGCAATCATAATCATGATAATTGTTTTCAGTTGTCTTCAGCAAGCATAATTGTTTTTTCAATTGTCTTCAGCAAGCATAATTGTTTTCAATTGTCTTCAGCAAGCATAATTGTTTTCAACTGTCTTCAGCAAGCATAATCATGATAATTGTTTTCAATTTTCTTCAGCAAGCATAATTGTTTTCAACTGTCTTCAGCAAGCATAATTGTTTTCAACTGTCTTCAGCAAGCATAATTGTTTTCAACTGTCTTCAGCAAGCATAATTGTTTTCAACTGTCTTCAGCAAGCATAATTTGTACTTTTCTTGTTTTCAACTGCATCTTCAGCAAGCCTGATTGTTTTCAACTGTCTTCAGCAAGCATAATTGTTTTCAACTGTCTTCAGCAAGCATAATTGTTTTCAACTGTCTTCAGCAAGCATAATTGTTTTCAACTGTCTTCAGCAAGCATAATTGTTTTCAACTGTCTTCAGCAAGCATGATTGTTTTCAAGTGTCTTCAGCAAGCCTGATTGTTTTCAACTGTCTTCAGCAAGCATAATTGTTTTCAACCTGTCTTCAGCAAGCATAATTGTTTTCAGTGTCTTCAGCAAGCATCTTCAGCAAGCATTGTTTTCAATTGTTTTCAATGTCTTCAGCACCTGCATTGTTTTTTCAGCTCACCGTCTTTTTCAACTGACAAGGAGCCTATGGATTGTCTTCAACTGTCAAGCTGCAAGCATCCAAGGACATTTTCAACTGTCTTCAGCAAGCATAATTGAACTGACTGTGTCATGGAAATTTGATCAGCAAGCATAATTGTTTTCAACTGTCTTCAGCAAGCCTGATTGTTTTCAACTGTCTTCAAATTGCAAGCCTGATTGTTTTCAACTGTCTTCAGCAAGCATAATTGTTGTTTTCAATTTTCTTCAGCAAGCCTGTCTGATTGTTGTTTTCAACTGTCTTCAGCAAGCCTGATTGTTTTCAACTGTCTTCAGCAAGCATAATCATTAATTGTTTTCAACTGTCTTCAGCAAATTGCATAGTCTGATTGTCTTCATTGTTGTTCAACTGTCTTCAGCAAGCATAATTGTTTTCAACTGTCTTCAGCAAGCATAATTGTTTTCAACTGTCTTCAGCAAGCATAATTGTTTTCAAGTGTCTTCAGCAAGCATAATTGTTTTCAACTGTCTTCAGCAAGCCTGATTGTTTTCAACTGTCTTCAGCAAGCATAATTGTTTTCAACTGTCTTCAGCAAGCATAATTGTTTTCAACTGTCTTCAGCAAGCATAATTGTTTTCAACTGTCTTCAGCAAGCATAATTGTTTTCATGTGTCTTCAGCAAGCATAATTGTTTTCAACTGTCTTCAGCAAGCATAATTGTTTTCAACTGTCTTCAGCAAAGCATAATTGTTTTCAGTTGTCTTCAGCAAGCATAATTGTTTTCATGTGTCTTCAGCAAGCATAATTGTTTTCAGTTGTCTTCAGCAAGCATAATTGTTTTCATGTGTCTTCAGCAAGCATAATTGTTTTCAACTGTCTTCAGCAAGCATAATTGTTTTCAACTGTCTTCAGCAAGCATAATTGTTTTCAGTTGTCTTCAGCAAGCATAATTGTTTTCATGTGTCTTCAGCAGCATCATTGTTTTCAACTGTATTCAGCAAGCATAATTGTTTTCATGTGTCTTCTGCTCGCAAAATGATGTCAAATTGTCTTGAATGATTTTGTTGTTGTCAGATTTGATGGAGTTATTAAAATCAGCTTCACTGATGACCCTATGACAGGAAGTGGGCAGGACGCTGAAATGGACATTCGTCGACTGTCCACCCTATCATCTGAGGATCCGAGTGCAACACCCGTGGTTCACAAGTGGATAACAGACTGGAAGTGGTATTGGGAGAATCAGTTTGGAAAATGGACAGAGTATGGAGTAAAGGTTAGACTTACAACAGAGGTACAGCCAAAAGTGGTTAAATTAGGCCTAAAATACTCAATGCTTTTCTGTCAATGGTCAAAGTTTCATTCCAATTTGTACAGCATTTTAGGTATATTGTAGTGGGTGAGTTTTAGTTTTACGCCACTTTTAGCATATTCCAGCAATATCACGGCAGCTGACACCATACAGGGGCATATTGTCCTCATGTGGGGATTCAAAAGTCGTCATTTTGATGAGCAAATGCTTTAACCACTGGGCTACCCCATCACCTCAACGTTTGCTTCAGGCACATTGATTACAAACAATTTGGGGCACCGTTTTCCAAAATTGGCCCAGCTGGGCTGGTATGTCCACTTAAGATCAGGAAAACTACATTTTTCTACAATTCCACAAACAAATACACAGATAACCCACTTCACAATTTGGAATTATGATTACTTGTACATAAGACCGACCTATCCATGACTCCTTTTGATGCAACTACCTGTGAAGATCCAGGATAGAATTGGTCTTCAGTATAAACCCATGCTTGTTGTAAGAAGTGACTTAAGTGATTGGTGGTCATGCTTGCTGACTTGCCTTCTTGATAGTGGTCATTGGATCCCATTTGAGTGGATCGATGCTCATGATGTCAAGCGGTGGATCGGGTCCAGTCTTGAATATTTATGGACAACTGTCTTATGGTTGACATCTACAGCTCATATAGGAGTATTCCATAGTGTTGAAACAACACACAAAATACCATCCTGCCGGAACTGTCTCACCCTAAGGTTGGTGGGGTAGCCTTGTGGTTAAAGCGTTCGCTCACACGAAGACCCGAGTTTGATTTCCCAACATGGGTACAATGTGTGAAACCCATTTCTGGTGTCCCCCGCCGTGATATTGATGGAATATTGCTAAAAGTGGTATAAAACTTAACTCACTCACTCACTTTCAAAGATCCGCAAAGAATTTTATGGTGAATGTCACGAAAAGGTGAAGGTCACAGGACAGAAATATATTCTGTAAATAATATATGAATATGGTATACTGACTGACTGACTGACTGAGTTTGGTTTTAAGCCGCTTTTAGCAATATTCCAGCAACATCACGGCGGGGGACACCAGAAATGGACTTCACACATTGTACCCATGTGGGGATTCGAACCCGGGGCTTCGGCGTGACGAGCCAACGCTTTAACCATTAGGCTACCCCACCGCCCCTGAATATGGTCTACACTTTCAGTACTGCACCACATCTGTCAGCATGGAATATGTCAAAGTGTAAACAAGCATTGAATTTACCAAAAGGTATGTGACATTGGCCAATCAGAAAGCAGCTTTTTCATCTTCCACTCACTCACTCACTCACTCTGCATGTTACAGGATGTTTATGGTTTCACCTCAACTATGGACAGTGAGGCCTTCGAGAAGGAGTATTTAGCTGATCCCAAGGGATCTATTGACTTCAATACAGTTGAGTACAGCTACAACCTCAACTTCTCCACAATGACACAGGGGAACACACAGGCCAAGACAGTACGGAATGTCAGAAGGCGGCCATATTTCTACACGAAGGGAGACTTGAAAAACAGGTTTGTTTATTATCACATATTTTTTCACACAGCACAATATGTCGTCTCCTAGAGTCACTGCTGTATACAAGCATTCAAAATAAGGGATGCAAAAAGTTTATCTGATTGTACATCTAATGATGTACTTTGTGATATACACATAATATGTGGTCAACCATAGAGTTATAAACTTGTCTCCAGTGCTGCCTTTTTACTAAGTTTTCTAGCCACTGTTTATCTAATTTGATTGGTTAATTTCGCGAAATTTTAATTGGTTCATCAGCGATAGCCACTTCAGGTAAATGGTAAGCATCTGATCCATGAGGATGATCTATAGGTTTTTCAATCAGCATATAATGTCATTTTAGATATTGGCAGAAATTTTGAATGAAAGTTACTAACTGCCAAAAAATAGATTAATTGATGGATTGATTGTAAAACATGTGAATAATAACTGGAACTGTTCAAGAGCCAGAGTAAATACAACTGAAAAAAGAGAAAGAAAAAAAAAGAAATTATTGTAATGTGTCGGGATATGAATCATTTCACAGCTCTTTTGCAGTCTCAGCATAACCTTACACCTCCACCAGAGACATTATCCTGTTTCACTTTAATTTCATGCTCACATAAGTCTGATGATGTGTAGTATCTGATGATGTGTAGTATCTGATGATGTGCAGTATCTTATGATGTGTAGTATCTGATGATGTGCAGTATCTGATGATGTGTAGTATCTGATGATGTGCAGTATCTTATGATGTGTAGTTTCTGATGATGTGCAGTATCTGATGATGTGTAGTATCTGATGATGTGTAGTATCTGATGATGTGCAGTATCTTATGATGTGTAGTATCTGATGATGTGCAGTATCTGATGATGTGTAGTATCTGATGATGTGTAGTATCTGATGATGTGTAGTATCTTATGATGTGTAGTATCTGATGATGTGCAGTATCTGATGATGTGTAGTATCTGATGATGTGCAGTGTCTGATGATGTGCAGTATCTGATGATGTGTATCTGATGATGTGCAGTATCTGATGATGTGCAGTGTCTGATGATGTGCAGTATCTGATGATGTATGCATCTATGATGATGATCTGATGTAGCATCTGATGATGTGCAGTATCTGATGATGTGCAGTATCTGATGATGTGCAGTGTCTGATGATGTGCAGTATCTGATGATGTGTAGTATCTGATGATGTGCAGTATCTGATGATGTGCAGTATCTGATGATGTGCAGTATCTGATGATGTGCAGTATCTGATGATGTGTAGTATCTGCAGTATCTGATGATGTGCAGTATCTGATGATGTGCAGTATCTGATGATGTGTAGTATCTGATGATGTGCAGTATCTGATGATGTGTAGTGTCTGATGAAGTGTAGTATCTGATGATGTGCAGTATCTGATGATGTGCAGTATCTGTTGATGTGCAGTGTCTGATGATGTGTAGTACCTGATGATGTGTAGTATCTGATGATGTGTAGTATCTGATGATGTGCAGTATCTGATGATGTGCAGTGTCTGATGATGTGTAGTATCTGATGATGTGATGATGTGCAGTATCTGATGATGTGCAGTGTAGTGTCTGATGATGTGTAGTGTCTGATGATGTGTAGTGTCTGATGATGTGTAGTGTCTGATGATGTGCAGTGTCTGATGATGTGCAGTGTCTGATGTGCAGTATCTGATGATGTGTAGTATCTGATGATGTGCAGTATCTTCTGATGATGTGCAGTATCTGATGATGTGCAGTATCTGATGATGTGCAGTATCTGATGATGTGTAGTATCTGCAGTATCTGATGATGTGCAGTATCTGATGATGTGTAGTATCTGATGATGTGCAGTGTCTGATGATGTGTAGTGTCTGATGATGTGCAGTATCCGATGATGTGTAGTATCTGATGATGTGCAGTGTCTGATGATGTGCAGTATCTGATGATGTGCAGTATCTGATGATGTGTAGTATCTGATGATGTGCAGTATCTGATGATGTGTAGTGTCTGATGAAGTGTAGTATCTGATGATGTGCAGTATCTGATGATGTGCAGTATCTGATGATGTGCAGTGTCTGATGATGTGTAGTATCTGATGATGTGTAGTATCTGATGATGTGCAGTATCTGATGATGTGCAGTATCTGATGATGTGCAGTGTCTGATGATGTGCAGTATCTGATGATGTGATGATGTGGTAGTATCTGATGATGATGTAGTATCTGATGATGCAGTATCTGATGATGTGCAGTATCTGATGATGTGCAGTATCTGATGATGCAGTGTCTGATGATGTGCAGTGTCTGATGATGTGTAGTGTCTGATGATGTGTAGTATCCGATGATGTGTAGTGTCTGATGAAGTGTAGTGTCTGATGATGTGTAGTGTCTGATGATGTGTAGTGTCTGATGATGTGCAGTGTCTGATGATGTGCAGTATCTGATGATGTGTAGTATCTGATGATGTGCAGTATCTGATGATGTGCAGTATCTGATGATGTGCAGTGTAGTGTCTGATGATGTGTAGTGTCTGATGATGTGTAGTGTCTGATGATGTGCAGTGTCTGATGATGTGCAGTATCTGATGATGTGCAGTATCTGATGATGTGCAGTATCTGATGATGTGCAGTATCTGATGATGTGTAGTATCTGCAGTATCTGATGATGTGCAGTATCTGATGATGTGTAGTATCTGATGATGTGCAGTATCTGATGATGTGCAGTATCTGATGATGTGTAGTATCTGCAGTATCTGATGATGTGCAGTATCTGATGATGTGCAGTATCCGATGATGTGTAGTGTCTGATGATGTGCAGTGTCTGATGATATGCAGTGTCTGATGATGTGCAGTGTCTGATGATGTGCAGTGTCTGATGATGTGTAGTGTCTGATGATGTGGAGTATCTGATGATGTGTAGTATCTGATGATGTGCAGTATCTGATGATGTGCAGTGTCTGATGATGTGCAGTATCTGATGATGTGCAGTATCTGATGATGTGCAGTATCCGATAAATAAAAGTATCTGATGATGTGCAGTATCTGATGATGTGTAGTGTCTGATGTGTAGTATCCGATGATGTAGTGTCTGATGATGTGCAGTGTCTGATGATGTGCAGTATCTGATGATGTGTATCTGATGATATGTAGTATCTGATGATGTGCAGTACGATGATGTGTAGTGTCTGATGATGTGTAGTGTCTGATGATGTGTAGTATCTGATGATGTGCAGTATCTGATGATGTGCAGTATCGATGATGTGCAGTGTCTGATGATGTGTAGTGTCTGATGATGTGCAGTATCTGATGATGTGTAGTATCTGATGATGTGTAGTATCTGATGATGTGTAGTATCTGATGATGTGCAGTATCTGATGATGTGCAGTCTCTGATGATGTGCAGTGTCTGATGATGTGTAGTATCTGATGATGTGCAGTATCTGATGATGTGCAGTATTCGATGATGTGCAGTATCCGATGATGTGTAGTATCTGATGATGTGCAGTATCTGATGTGTAGTATCCGATGATGTGTAGTGTCTGATGATGTGTAGTATCTGATGATGCAGTATCTGCAGTATCTGATGTAGTGATGATGTGTAGTGTCCGATGATGCGTAGTGTCTGATGATGTGTAGTGTCTGATGATGTGTAGTATCTGATGATGTGTAGTATCCGATGATGTACCTTTCATTATCAGGAACGTGGCAACATCCTCTGACAGTGTCGAAGTGCCGGATGTATGGAGCTGCAAGACGTTCAAGTCAACCAAACAACTTTTCGCTCATTTTAGCCGTCCCGATGTGAGTACCTTTGTATATTGCAGGTCTTCTTCCTCCAGCACCCAAAACCATAGAGGCACAGCTAGCCTAGTAGGTCAAGTGTTCGCTTGTCATGCCACACAGTCAGGTTCAATTCCCCTGATGGTTAGAATGCTTTGAGCCCATTTCTCTTGTCCTCACCAACCGAACTGCTAGTGTTGCTGAAAGTGGCATGATTTGGTTGGTTGGTTTGTTGTTTAATGCTGCACTCAGCAATATTCCAGCTATATGGCACCAGCTATAAATTGAGTCTGGACCAGACAATCCAGTGATCAATAGCATGAGCATTGATCTAACTTGGATACGTTGGCATATGTCAACCATAATTTTCTGTATATTCTGTATTGTTTGTCAGTAAAATGAAGTCATTCCACATTGAGACACTGATTATATCTGATCAAGGTTGATGACACCACAGAAGAATACAAAAAAGTAAAAGATCTTTTCTACAAAACTCTCCCAAGCAGCAGAGTGATCAAATCAATCAAGCGCATTGAAAATGGAGAATTGTGGGCTAATTACTATGTGTGAGTATGCATTTAACGTTTCTTTGTGAATATGACATACATGCAGTACTGATTTCAATATTTTGTTGCATGTATGGAGGTATTAATGTAAAATCTGGTGTGCCAACATCGTAAAACCTTATTGGATATTTATGAAAAATGTGCTCACCATTTTTAACCTCTATACCATCATTCAATATATAGATGAAGGACTCTTTTGGGTTGCAATAAGTTTGTTGTCGCATCCGTTACTATTTTTCAGATTAAATAAGATTTTATGAGAGCTTCAATTGGTTAAGTTTTAGTTTGGTTGTTGTTTAACGCTGCACTTAGCAATATTCCAGCTTTATGGCAGCGGTCTGAAAGTAATAGAGTCTGGACCAGACAATCCAGTGATTAACATCATGAGCATCGATTTATACTACTGGGATACAATGACATGTGTCAACCAAGTCAGCAAGCCTGACCAACCGATCCCATTAGTCGCCTCTTACGACGAGCATGGGTTACTGAAGACCAATTCTAACCCGGATCTTCGTGGGTCAACACCCTGTGAGACAAAATCTTGTGTGCATGTGAACATGATATGAAATTCTAACACTTTCTTATTATTACTATAGATAATCTATCCTTACATGACAAATTAACTACAATTATATGAAACATGAGGGTGGTTTTCTATTTCATAATGCATAAATCTATTTTTTTGATTAATTCAACTGCTGTGTCACACCAACAGGAGAAAAGGCCAAATGACAATCAAGGCGGGAAAACCTGTGAAGGAAATGAGCCTGTTTCATGGAACTTTGGAACAATACATCGATCCCATCTGCCACCAGGGCTTTGACTCCCGATTTAGCGGAAAAACATCTGGCACGAAGTATGGACACGGAAGCTATTTTGCAAGAGATGCAAAATATTCTGACTGTTACACTGAAAAAACAGAATCACAAAAGAAAATGTTTGTCGCGAAAGTTCTTGTTGGAGAAAGTGCAAGAGGAAGTCCTGATTATGTGCGTCCTCCTCCCAAAAGTGCACAGAATGTGTACGAGCTGTACGACTCTTGTGTGAATCATCCGTCAGATCCTTCCATCTTTGTTATCTTCTCACCGGAACAGTCATACCCAGAATATCTCATATCCTACGATTGAGAATGTTCTGTATCTTGAAGAACTTTAGCAGATAATGCTTCTTTCAGTAGATATTTGTCTCGACCTGCTCGGCAGTGAATATTCAGACTCAAATCTTCGTATTTGGTAAAAATTGCCCAATTTGCCAAGTCATATGGTTTTGGCAGGGATTTTCCTAGACTTTAGAAGAGGCTGACATTTCCCAAAGTCTTCTGTAAAGATTCCCACATTGAATTAATAATTCCCTCATTCATAAGAATTTGTTTAGTTGTTACAACAATAACATTTTTAAACATGACTGTGATTTCCAAGATATTTTTTTGGATTAAACTTCTTTGTAATTTCTCTCACGACGTTTCGAGACCATTCCAGGTCCCTTCATCAGGTGCATGCCAGTTCACCTGATGAAGGGACCTGGAATGGTCTCGAAACGTCGTGAGAGAAATTACAAAGAAGTTTAATCCATAAAAATATCTTGGACATCAATGTACAACTTCTAAATGCCACTGAAAGACATGACTGTGATTGTTTCTCAAACTCCCTGTCAGTAACACTTGGTATGTGATCCCAGATAAAACCTGTTACAGCTAAATCCAATTATAACAGGTTTAGATCGCTTACATTTTGTGGTGACGATTACCTTCCTCATTCTGACAGTTAGTTTTCGAGCCCTGAATGTTACTAGAATCTGCACTATTCTGAGTGAGTAATCCCAAATGTAACATGCATTTTACCAGTTTCTAAAATGCAATGTATATTCATATATCAGTTAACACTTGTGAGAGGGGTACACAAAGTACCTATCTAGATCTAGACTGAGTTTGTGTTTTAGACTACTAGTTGTCCAACTTCCATTTTTTTTAAGCCTTTGTGGCTCAGAGGGTAAGATGGCTGACTTTGTGTGCTGGGGATTAGGTGCTGACAGTGAAAGTGTGGGTTCGATTCCAAATCCAAAAATGTACTAGAATCTTGACTTTACTGACAAAAGAGTAATCCCAAATATGTTGCAGTGATAGCAAGTGTTATGCCATGGTAGAGGAGATTTGTATTTCAACGACAGCAAGACCAATAAAAGACGGTCTAGCAGGAATAAATTAGTGATTATATTTACACAATTACTTTGTATGCCATGTTGAAATTCTTAATGTGAGAAAATTTGAAATTGAAATATTATTTCCTACTTTGGGGTTAAAAAATTAATTGTTTGTTTTGAAATACTGACTGAAAACATGTTTTGTCTCTAATAATAGCCTTGATTTATTTCTTCAAATACTAAATTTATTTATCAGACCTGACAAAGATACATGTACATGTACCTGGGTTTTAATCGACTCCACTTACACCACATAGGAGATGTCCCGGGACCCCTAAATATTATTTACAGAGGTCCTTGCGGGCAATATGAGGGTCCTGTGAAGTAACGGTGTAGAGAACTGTATGTTTTGATAATTTCTTTAGAGCCTGGAATGAATCATTGATCATGTGGACTGGTGGAGGAAATGATGCCACGTAACTGCTCTGAAGGAAACAACCAAACACTTAGCAAAGTCATAGATGTGTTGTTGGTACAATGAATAATATTGTGGGTCCCTCAGGATGCAGTGAATTTTATGTTCTGTGTCCATTCTCTGCAACCCGTGAAGATCCGGGTTAGAGCTGATCTTCAGTATCCAATGCTTGTCGTAAGAGGCGACTAACGGGATCAGGTGGTCAGCCTCACTGACTTGGTTGACACATGACATCATGTCCCAATAGCGTAGGTAGATGCTGATGATGTTGATCACTTGATTGTCTGGTCCAGGCTTGATTATTTACAGACTGCCGCCATATAGCTGGAATATTGCTGAGTGTGGCGTAAAATTAAACTCACTCACCCATTCTCTACATTTGTTCGTACTGTACGCACATTTGCGCATAGCGTAAAACCCAGCATGTACTCTCCTTGAGTTGTATATTTGATTGGTATATGCTTTCTGTGAAATTCATTCCAAGTTAACCAGTGAACACCATAGTTAATTATTGTAAACATTCCTTAGCACTTATCACTTGAGCGTTATACTAATATCTATTTGTTTACATTTGTTTTCATTATTGAATGGAATATATATCTACTTCGTGTTTTTGATCCCTGACTTGAAACATATTTTTCTAAATTCAAAACCATATGCTTATTTCACACCAGCAAATCAGTTTTAGAGATATCAAATCTTGTTTGAAACCTCTAGAAGTACAACAGTGTATGAACTGGAGATCTAGCCAGGATAGAAAATGATTCATAACCCCAAAATTGTCTGACTACAATGTGTACACAGATGTACAATATACAATGATTTTGTTTAGGTCTGGATACATGGATATATATGTGTGTATATATTTTTTGCTTTTTATTTTTATTGTTTTTTATGTTTTGTGAGTATACTTTTAAAAAAAAGTAGGGGAACTTAATTTTGAATTATGATTGCAAAAATTGGGAGGTATATCTGAGTCAATCAATGTTGATATGATAATAATGAATGTTTTGAGAGTGCGTCACCACTTGCACTTCCTTATGACCATAGTTATTTGTTCAGTAATCGCTCTTGAATGATGATTGGTGTTTGACGTGGAATTTGCATGTGTAGGATTTTCATTTTCAAACCAAAAACCACCAGATAGAAGCAAACACTATCAACTGTGTGATGCAAGATGATTGTCTAAATTAATGGTCTACAGTGATTTGCCAAATCAAGAATGACACCCAATGCATGTGTATGGGGCTGATGCGTTGTGCACATGCATGCCATGTGTTTAGGGTGGTGATAAGGAGAAGTGGTGGTGCGTTCATAAGATGTCTGTCTTTGAAAAGTTTGTACACATGTATACTGCCTATCCAAATTGAAAGGTCAGGTTCCCCTACTTTTTTTAAAGACATACGAAGGTTGTTGTTTTTTTTTCATTTGTTTGTTGATTTCAAAATGTCTATCATGTAAAATGACACTCCGTTTCATAATAAGTTACTGACATAAAATTATGTGATACCAATTTTGTTTGTTTGGGGCGACATTTTGTTTGTCCATGCATTAAGCGTCCTTGATGATTTCCATGTGTTGAAAAAAAAAGAAAAAGTGACTAAAAAGCAATAATACCACAAAAGTGTGTTGCAAGTCTTTGTGAAGTGTTTGTTGGTGTTATATATCTTGTTTTGTATGTATTTTTGACATATTTTTATATATTTATGTGTCATATATACTGTCAATATTTGTACTGACAATGAAACATATGCTTTGACATGTTTGTGGGTGGATATTTATAGAACTCTTTTAGAGGCATTTTAGAAGTTGTGAAGATGAAGGAAAACCCAGTTTTATGGATAGTCAACTCTTTTATTGCAATGAGTGTGACATTTCGGTGTAGGTACTAACACTGTTATCAAGCAAGTGATAAGAACTTGTTTTTCCTTGATATTTACATAAGTAAAAATATCATTACGTACAACAAAGGTTTCCTTACTTTAATTCAAATTAATGTTAAATTTTGAGGCAGTGGGGTAGCCTAGAGGTTAAAGTGTTTGCTTGTCACCCTAAAGACCTGGGTTCGATTCCCCACATGGGTGCAATATGTGAATCCCATTTCTGGTGTCCTCTGCTGTGATATTGCTGGAATATTGCTGTGATATTGCTGGAATATTGCTTACAGTGGCGTAAAACTATACTCACTTTGACATGTTTGAACACTGTCCTTTAGTTTGGAGGCTATTTATGAACAAAAGATTGCAGAATAAATACAATTTAATTTGTGTAGTTTAGTGGGCTTTTGATGTAGGGTATAATTCTCTTGATGTGTGTTGGTCTTGTGGTCCCAGAATAATTTCTACTGCCTGTACCATAATCTATGATGTGTATTCACTCATTAATCTAATAACTTGTTGATGGTTGTAGAAGCCAAAATATTTGATGCATATTAAAAATCAATGTTCTTTCTATTATTGCTTGTGTGTGTTGATTAAATGTAATTACAATTTATATACATTGTGTTAATCAGAATTGTGCCAGCTCATACTGTGCTTGGTTGTAAACTTGTGATGTTTTGAACACAATTGAAGTTCTTTCAGTTGGGGTTGTGTGTTGGCAAATAAGTTGTATTGCAATATATTGCAATTCAGGTACCCGTATTGGGATACATATTGCAATATATAGGGAACTTTTAAGTGTTTGACAGTGAGGGACACTAATTGTGCATGCCAATTCTATTTTCTACATTATAAGCTCCTAAACATATAGGTTATGGTTCTGATAATGGTAATCTCAAAATTAGGTTGCATAGTCAGGGATAATATCTTCTTTTTTATACAACATATAGTATTACAGTATGCTGTTTGTCATTCAAATAACAAAGGAAAATATTTGTTGTGAATGAAAGTATGTGAAGATTATAATTTAAACCATAAAGATGATCACAAACACTTCATATATGTTCTTTACCCAATATATCGATTCTTAGAAAAAATATTGGAATCGTATCGTATCACTATTTGTTAAGAGGGAGGGGTGCAAAGAGAGGAACAGCCAGGTGTGCAAGAAAGGATGGAGACAGCACAGGTATATGATTCAATAACTTTGTTGGCACTTGTGCAGGTGCTCCGCGTACACCTGGCTGTTCCTCTCTTTGCAGTCCTCCCTTGTAACAAATAGTCAACTGTGTCAAAATTTTAATGATAGTTTGTTAACCAAATTTTTTATGTGTAGGACATAAATTCTGCAAAAAATCACAGAGTTGGTCTGATGTTTTGATTATGATCAGTGTTTCATTGAGTATTATATGTTTAGTAGTTTTCGAGTTAGATTGCAATTCATCAGTCCGATTTTGAGCCAAACGGACTATAGTGTGGACAAACACAAGCAGCTTCACACCCACGTGTATGTACGTCGTTATGTGAGTGAAAGATCTTTGAATATGACATTAAGCCCCATTTCTCTTCACATGTTTACAAGTATGTGCTGTATCACCATGACTCTGAGTGAATGTGAGTGAGTATAGTTTTACGCCGCTTTTAGCAATTTTCCAGCTATACCTTGGCGGGGAAGATCAGAAATGGATTTCACACATTGTACCCATGTGGGGAATTGAACTCGGGTCTTCAGAGTGATGAGCGAACACATTAACCACTAGGCTACCCCACCGTCCCTCCATGACTGAATATCATATGGTTTCAAATCAGTAAAACCCAAGACATTTTACAATTTTACCTTACTGTTACTGGATTGTTCTGAGATACCATCCCTACAATTTGTCGTAATTATTATGGGGCAGTGTGGTGGCATAGTGGTTAAAGCGTTCGCTCGTCATGCCGAAGTCCCGGGTTTGATTCCCCACAGGGGTACAATATGTGAAGCCCATTTCTGGTGTTCCCGCCACGATATTGTTAGAATACTGCATGCTGAAAGCAGTGTAAAACCTTTCTCACTCACTAACTCATTATAGTTATGATTTTGCGCCAAAGATTATGTTTAATATATTATTCTTGTCTCCACGTTTCACTTACGCCCAGTGAAGTTAAAACCCTCATGATTTTACCATAACCCTTTTTCAAATGAAATTACATTTTTGTAGCCTACTGATTATATCAAAGCTTTCCTGCAGTTGGTATCTCAGGATTACAGCATTAAACATGGAAATAGACTTGATTCAAGCAATCATTCAACTTTTGAGAAGGTGGATATCTTTTATTTTATCTTTCATTCCTGCCATGCCCTGTATTGTTTTATGTTTTATACTGTATCTTATGTAATTTTTTCCCGATGAACTTTGTTTCAAGGTCATGTGAACCTCAATGTTGTGTATTTTCTGCTGATGTGTGATAATGTGTAATAATGCTTCACTGTAATAAACCCACTGGGATTACTTGTTCTTATTATTTACAGTTTCTCTTGAAACTACTGAAGAACTGAGTTTTACACCGCACTCAGCAATATTCCAGCTATATGGCAGCGATCTGTAAATAATCGAGTCTGGACCAGCCAGTCCAGTGAGAAACAGCATGAGCATCGATCTAAGCAATTGGGATACGATGATATGTGTCAACCAAGTCAGCGAACCTGACCACCCGATCCCGTTAGTTGCCGCTTAGCACAAGCATGGGTAACTGTAGATCAATTCTGACCCGGATCTTTACGGGTGGAGACTAGCATGGGTTACTGAAGATCAACTCTGACACGGATCTTCAAGGGTGGAGACAAGCATGGGTTATTGAAGATCAATTCTAACCTGGATCTTCACGGGTGGAGACTAGCATGGGTTACTGAAGATCAATTCTAACCTGGATCTTTACGGGTGGAGACAAGCATGGGTTACTGAAGATCAATTCTAACACGGATCTTCACAGGTAGAGGCTAGCATGGGTGACTGAAGATCAATTCTAACCTGGATCTTCAAGGGTCAAGACAAGCATGGGTTACTGAAGACCAATTCTAACCTGGATCTTCAAAGGTGGAGACAAGCATGGGTTACTGAAGATCAATTCTAAGGCGGATCTTCAAGGGTGGAGACAAGCATGGGTTACTGAAGATCAATTCTAACCTGGATCTTTACGGGTGGAGGCTAGCATGGGTTACTGAAGATCAATTCTAACACGGATCTTCACAGGTGGAAACAAGCATGGGTTACTGAAGATCAATTCTAACCTGGGTGGAGCATGGGTTACAAGATCAATTCTAACCTGGATCTTCACAGGGTTACTGCATGGGTTACTGAAGATCAATTCAATCTTTTCGGTCGGAACTAGCCTGAAGATCAATTCTCACGGATGTTCCAATGATCCTTCTGGGTTGAGACAAGCATGGGTTACTGAACTGCATCTATTGACTGAAGATCAATTCTAACACGGATCTTCAAGGGTGGAGACAAGCAAGGGTTACTGAAAATCAATTTTAACCCATTCTCACTCCAATGATCCTTTGTCATGTGAACTGCATCTATTGATAGAAGCCCCGAGGAATATAAAAACTTCAATGATTTTTATGTTAATAGTATTTTTAGAAGCTTCTGTGGCATACATTCGAAGTTGATGAAAGGGTGGGTGATTGTGTTTGTTATTTAACTCTGCATTCAGCACAATTCCAGCTTAATGATGATGGTTAGTTAATAAGAGTCTGACAGTCTGGTGATTGACGTCATGAGCATCAGGGATGTCTAGTGAACGCACAATCATGGGGGTTCTGGCGTGCGCAGGGGACGTAACCAGGACCGGACGACCTGTGCCCCATATAGTCGAAGAGGGTCATGGTGAATTCGTGAAAACCTTTTTATTGTAACACTAATGTAACACTACTTATTTTGCTGGAGTATTGCTGATTGAAACAAATCTTAATAATTTAAGCCTATTGGTATAAGCTATAACGTGTAACAGCGCTTTTGAAGTTTGAGTTTATGTGGATATTGCAACCATCATGTACATAGAGGATTTATCAAGAATGTTTTAAATGGTGCAATGTCAACCGAGTGTTAATCTCAAGCGAAGGTTCGCTAAATATTTATTAGTAACGGACGAGGTAATTTGCACATGTAATTTGCATACTTAGGGACCGTTCATAATTTATAGCTAGGGGGGTCATCAATTTTCTTCAGCAACTTTTTACATAAAAGTATGTTTAATTATGCTTAGAAATTATAGGAAGGAGGGGTGTCATTGATTTTGTACATGACATGCAGGGGGGTCACTTATTTTGTACATATAATTTAGGGGGGGTCATTCACATTGTACATGCTTCTCCATAAGAATCATCATCACTCCCCCTAGCCATAAATTATGAACGGTCCTTTATGTCGTTTGGGTATGACATACATGTTTTTGTGTCATAGGTTATGAACTGGTAAATGTACTGATAAATGTAATTCAGCGACTATTTAGATCCCCTTCTGACTTATTACTCTGATGTAGCACGCCATGTTTAAGAGGATGAACTTTTGAAAAGGTGACATGTTCGTTATTTGTGGTTTGCGCCTGGTCGGATGTTTCGTTGGCGATAGAATAAAAAGTTATAAAGTTGTTGACAAACAGCGGCATAGTTATTGCCAGCACCAAGATGCCCATGCAGGCACACAGCACACCGACACCCTTAGAAACAGCAGTAGATGGAGTTATGTCCCCATAACCAACCGTTGTCATAGTGATGACTGCCCACCAGCATGCTTCCGGTATGGTTTTCATATGATCAGAATCGACATAGTACACAACTGTACCAAACACGATGGAGGTAATAAGAAGAAGAAGCGCCATAAAACCAACCTCCCTTAAGGAAGATTTGAAAGCGTAGACCAGAACCCGAGCTCCTGTGATATGCTTCGTCAAATGGAACAGCCTCAAAACTCGAAGGACCAACATCCCTTCAAGAATGTCCAGGTAGGAATGTTTGAATTTCTCAGCGACCGACACTTGCTCGACAAGGATCTTACCTAGAGCGGCAATAACTGCGAGGACGTCAATGATGTTCAGTAGAGACCTGAAGAAACGGACTAAACTTGGGCAGCAACAGAGCCTCAACAGAAGCTCCACTGCGAAGAAGGCGGTGCAGATGTAACCAACCAGTTCGACGTTCTCGTTCTTCACATGGACGTCTTTGGGCAGACTGAAGTTCCCGAGAATGTCGTCACTCGTCCTGTTGTGTCTCTCCGTTATTTCGTCCACATCCTCATCGTCAGATTCTTCATCTGCGAGTCTGATCTCGTCGTAGTACTCGTCGAAGTAGTCTTCTCCGAAGTACTGTCTCCAGTGTTCTTTCTTCAGGGTGCTCTTGAACTGAGGCAGGGTTCCCAGGACAATTAGTAGAGTTGATGTGATGATCACAAGGCACGATATAAGGAAGTATACCTGTCGCAAAGAAGAACAAAAACATTTGTATTCTGAATATATGTTAGTAATAATGTATTTATTATCGATCATGTTTCACAGCATCAATATACCCGTATCAGTCAATCCAATTAAGCTATAATGCTCCAATATAATGCTGGATGACGCAATTCTAGTAAGTTGATGGACAAGCTGGGAATTTATTGATGCTATGATTTCTTTGTTTGTTGTTTAACGCCGCACCCGGCAATATTCCAGCTATATGGCGGGGGTCTGTAAATAATCGAGTCTGGACCAGACCATCTTGTGATCAGTATCATGGTCATGGATCTACGCAACTGGGATACGATTACATGTGTCAACCAAGTCAGCGAGCCTGACCACCCAATCCTGTTAGTCGCCTTTTACGACAAGCAGGGATTGCTTCAGACCAATTCTAACCAGGATCTTCACGGGTATATTATATATGTAGTAACCACGAGCAATCATTTACTGACTGTTGGCAACTGATACTAATTTCTGTTGAACCTGTTTGGATTTTACGTTTCACAGATATCAAAAAAGAATATAACTGAATGTACCTGCAACAGTGAAACCTGATTTACTCTAATAATACGTTCTCAAAGAAGCGGTATATTTAATTAGTGAACGAGTTAAATCTAAAGTCACCTCGACAAAGGTTAGCTATGTCTGACTGAGACTGTTTTTGGTTTTTACGCCGCTTTTAGCAATATTCCAGCAACATCACGGCGGGGGACACCAGAAATGGGCTTCGCACATGGTACCCCTGTGGGGATTCGAACCCTCGGTCTTCGGCGTGACGTTTAGCTATGTCAAAATTTGATCAAGCTGTAGTTAAAATATAATCAATAGTAATATATCACAGATTTACTTGAACATTACTTACATACAAGGATCAGAACATAGAACATAAACCGGTGATCCGCAACATTCGAACTATAAAACCCCAGAAAAAAACGGTCGGTAAATATTAGAATCCGGACTAGCGAATACAGTAATCAACGTCATGCGCTTCGAGCAACGTAAATAGGACACGATGACGTTGAACAGCCAAAACAGCGAGCCTGACCGCCCGATCCCAACCGCTTACGACAAGCATTGGTTGCTGAAGATCAATTCTAACCCCAATCTTCATGGGACCATTGTTATAGAACGACCTTGTAAATCTGTAAACATTTCTAACAATAATCGCCATGGACGCGAGCGTTCCGAATTACAAAGCTCCGATAAATATTGTTTGACGTCAGCCATGTACACATCTTCTAACCTTACATACACCGTGACGCTTTCAATAACAGCAGCACCACCACGCTAATGAGCTGCCGCGTGTTGTATGTAAAAGCACTATTGAATGCTCGTTATCTCAGACAAAAGAACACTGATAATACTTATGTGAACATGTAAACGATTTGAAGCGCGTAGTTAACGAATTTTCTCAATATAGGCCAACGAACAATAAATACTTACCAAGACATTGATTATGTTTTTATATTTTTTTTTAAATCTCGAGAGAGGTATATGGTTTAAAAAACAACTACTTTCGTTAGGTATTGTCGTCCGTAATGGTTTTGAGTAAATCCTAGTATGGTTCCAATAGGAATAATGTTCGTCTACACTTCAACCCCAAGTTTGTTGAATGCTTCGGAAGTGCGGACGACTTGAAACAAGAGCCATAATCCATTTTGCTTACTCAAATACTTAAGTTGTACTTCTTGATAACGTAACACGAAATCAGTTGATGTTTGAAGTATACTTGAGGAGTTTCAACATGCAAGATCGTTACAATGTAATGGCGTGGAACGGGAATGTCCTGGACGTATTCCACGAGTATTGGAGGACAAACATCGAGGAATCGAAATTTAGGTAAAACAGCTAAAACATTTACTAGGCTACAACAACAAGTAATTTGTTTTCATAGTGCTTCCATCAATGATATGATGGTCGGGTAGCCGAGTGGTTAAAGCGTTCGCTCGTCACGCCGAAGACCCCACATGGGTACAATATGTGAAGCTCATTTCAGGTGTCCCCGCCGTGATAGTGTTGGAATATTGCTCAAAGATGGTAACACCTTACTCAGTCCATCAGTAATATTTCATCGTAAAAAATTCAATTCCACTATGTGGCAAAGAATGGCCAACCTTTGCAATCTTTGATGAAAACGGTCGATCCATCATCTTCCATAACCAATTCCTGACCTTCGCGAAGGTTGATGTGGACTCCCCCTGCGGCTCGATGAACGCTAGTGTTGCCCCCTTTTGGAACTCGTTTACCTCATGTTGCTGTCTCTGAAAGCCGTTAAGCGCACGTCTACAACACGGCTCTACGTCATCGACGCTGAATCCCCAGAAATCCAGTTCCTCCTGTGAGAACAACGCAGACTTCACCAACATCTCAGTAAACTGATCTTATGTTATTGTTTGAGGTTTGATTTACTAGTCGTGTAATGTACGTGTAGATTGGTGAAACATTTACTTTAATGAACATTAATTCTGTGAGACAGTTGAACGACGTTGTAACCAATAGCAAAGTAATCGACAAGTGCAGGTGTCCGGTGAGATGGGAAATCCTGAACGATAGTTATGAACACTGATATACAGCCCCGAGACATAGAAGCCGTTACATGTAGGTGCCCTGTCGAATGGTATCCCGGACGGTGCTAAATTTCAGACAATCCCTAGACACATGCAGGTACCTGGTCTGATGGTACTCAAGGACTGATATGAATACGTACGTTCACACTCTTCACTTACCTGTACATCCCCGAGACACATGCAGGTGCCTGGTCAGATGGTGCTCAAGGACTGATATGAATACACGTGTTCACTCTCTTCACTTCCCTGTACAGTCCCTAGACACATGCAGGTGCCTGGTCTGATGGTGCTCAAGAACTGATATGAATACACGTGTTCACTCGCTTCACTTACCTGTACAGTGCCGACACACATGCAGGTGTCTGGTCTGATGGTACACAAGGACTGATATGAATACACACGTTCACACTCTTCACTTACCCGTACAGTCCCTAGACTTATGCAGGTGCCTGGTCTGATGGTACTCACGGACTGATATGAATATATACGTTCACACTCTTCACTTACCTGTACAGTCCCTATACACATGCAGGTACCTGGTCTGATGGTACACAAAGACTGATATGAATACACACGTTCACACTCTTCACTTACCTGTACAGTCCCTAGACAAATGCAGGTGTCTGGTCTGATGGTACTCACGGACTGATATGTATACACGTGTTCACACTTTTCACTTACCTGTACAGTCCCTAGACACATACAGGTGCATGGTTAGATGGTACTCAAGGACTGATATGAATCAGACGTTCACACTCTTCACTTACCTGTACAGTCCCTAGACACATGCAGGTACCTGGTCTGATGGTACTCAAGGACTGATATGAATACAGACGTTCACACTCTTCACTTACCTGTACAGTCCCGACACACATGCAGGTGCCTGGTCTGATGGTACTGAAGGACTGATATGAATACATACGTTCACACTCTTGACTTACCTGTACAGTCCCTACACACATGCAGGTGCCTGGTCTGATGGTGCTCAAGGACTGATATGGATACACGTGTTCACTCTCCTCACTTCCCTGTACAGTCCCTAGACACATGCAGGTGTCTGGTCTGATGGTACTCAAGGACCGATATGAATACATACGTTCACACTCTTCACTTACTTGTACAGCCCAGAGACACATAGAAGCTGGTACTGTAGGTGACCGGTTTGATGGCACCAGATACAGATTTGAACACACACGTATACACGCCTTCACTCAGACGTACATAACCCTTCCACCTACCTGTACAGCTCCGAGACACATAGAAGCTGGTAGATGCAGGTGCCCTGTCTGATGGTATCCAAGGACGGACTTAAACACAGCTGTGGGTCTCTGGAAGAAAACCTCCTTCTCTGTAGATGACGTCAGTCGCCCTAGAGTAGAATCAGGGTACCTGGACAAGACATCTCGTCCGATCTCGAACCTACGTCCGCTCACGTTGATGGTGGTGATGCAGTCGTCCATATCTCACTTGGTGCTACGCCATCCAATACCTGAAAAATGTAACCTCTTTATTCCATAAACCCTGCCTGGCACCGTATTTGGAGGTCTTAGTAAAAAAATGAATAAATATTGCAGTTTGCATTGTCGTACCTAGCAGCAGTACTAGAACTCTTTGAGTGGCATTTTAGAAGTTAGGGCGTGCAATATTGATCAAACTTTGTGATAACGTCTTTTAAATAGTTTATGAGTGCGACGTTTCGATACAGATTCTTCTACCGTTGTTAAGGAAGAATCTGTATCGAAATGTCGCATTAAGGAAATAAAAAAAGTTGTTATCCACAAAGCTGTTTTGCTTGTAGACTGTGATTGGCATTTTTAAGCTAAATGTCGCAACTCAGGATCACTACTGTAAATAGAAACAATGCCACTGGACGTCTGGACTGACTGGCTGACTGAGTTTGGTTTTACGCCGCTTTTAGCAATATTCCAGCAACATCACGGCGGGGGACACCAGAAATGGGCTTCACACATTGTACCCATGTGGGGATTCGAACCCGGGTCTTCGGCGTGACGAGCCAACGCTTTAACCATTAGGCCACCCCACCGCCCCCTGGACGTCTTGAGGCCGTTGCACGTCACCTCAATGTTCACCAGAGTAGCATCAGTCGTTTATGGGACCAATATCAACAAACCAATTCTAAGCAAGATCGACATCGAAGTGTTAGACCTCGCCTAACTGGGAACTGACGCCTCTACTTACTATACGTTTTATAAGCTATATATGTTAACAGACATTTGATCTTATATACAAAAATTTGGCTCCAAATTTGTGCTATCTCACTATAAAGTTAGCAGATTAAATTCGTGAAAATACACATATGCGTTTCTTTTTTGGGAGAGTATATATATAAATGGCACGTTCTTAACGAAAACAGAAACTAGCTTAACCTGTACCACAGCTTTCTGATAGAAAAAAAAACTAACAAAAGTAAAATGAACTTACTCATCGGTCATAGGAAACACAGATCTGTACATGCCGACTCTGTCTTCACCTTCAAAGGAGCATCATGGGAACACCCGTTTCCACTGAGATCATGTTCATCTCTAAGACTGTCCCGCACTGTACGGCAATGTTAACGATACATTAACCGTGATCCCACAGATGTTGATATGACCTGTGCTCCAAGATGTGTTCCCTTAGCAGCTTCTGTCTCACAAATAAATGGTACACCTGAGATTAAGCTACTGAATTGATGGAGAGATCAATACAATGACAAACGTCTGTCGTTATTTCCACGACTGCATCCACATTACTGCCATAGAGGTGCAGCGATGAATGGGTACACTAGTGTCATCGCATACATTTTATATTATTTATTTCCCAGAAGAGTCGTGATATTACACATCACAGGAAATGTGTGTTTTCGTCATTTTGTTGATGAAATTTTGTTTTGTAGGGTTTGTTGTTCAAGCAGGCATGTTGTGCTTCTCGGGGGAATTTTATTAATTTATTGTAGGGCTGTAATGAGAGATGAATTGAATGTTATGAGAATTAGCTATAAGTGAGGGGTATGTTTCAACCAGGAACCATCAGTGAGTGAATTGTGTTTGACTCTGCTGTTTGTAAAACCGGTTGAGTTTAGTTTTACGCCGCTTTTAGCAATATTCCAGCAATATCACGGCGGGGGACACCAGAAATGGGCTTCACATATTGTGCCCATGTGGGGAATCGAACCCGGGTCTTCGGCGTGACGAGCGAACGCTTTAACGACAAGGCTACTCCAAAGCCCCTAGCAAAACACGACTGCCTGTTTTATTGCTGTATATCGCCGCTCACAGCAATAGGTATATCTAGGCGATCTATAAATAATTTAGTCTGGACTAGACCAGCAAGTGATTGACATCATGAGCATCGATATTCGCATACGGTGACATACGATGCATCAATCGTGTTGGTGGTTTATAACTGACCCACAATGCAGCGTAAAAACAGCTGACGAACACGATGTTGGTTTCGCGTTGCTTCCAGGGTAGCTAGTCGGTACCGGGCAAACAAGTGATTGATATCGTGAGCATCGACCTGCGCATACTTGCTGGTTCATAGACTTTGTTTCACTTTGCATCATAGGAACAAATAAATGGTGAGTGAATGTTGATTTACGCCGCACCCAGCAATATTCCGCTTACAGCACAAGGTACATATGCGAAAAGTCCACAAAACACATTGGTGACATAATCTACACATTGACACTAGGCGTAAATTAGCTTAGACAAAGCTGCCATATTATTATGCTGCTGTACGATATAAAGCAACAGCAACAACAAGAACTACTCAACTACTACTACAACTTCTTCTTCTTCTTCTTCTTCTACTACTACTACTACCACTACTACTGCTACTACTACTTGCTTTAGTAAGTAAGAATAGCCTTACACACACACACACACACACACACACACACACACACACACACACACACACACACACACACACACACACACACACACACACACACACACACACACACACACACACACACACACACACACACACACACACACACACACATACATACATACATACATACATACAAATACTTCTATAGCGCCAGAATCCGATGTAATCGCCCAAAGGCGCTCTGAGTCCAAAGGTAAGCTTTGGTAAAAAGATGAGTCTTTAACTGGCTTTTGAAAGATGCAAGTTCAGTCAGTGATCGAAGTTCTTGTGGTAGATTTTTCCAGAATTTTGCACCATTTGAAGAGAATGCTCGGTCACCAAAAGACTTTGTTCTTGTACATTGAATTTGCAGAAGAGATTGGTCACTGGAGCGAAGAGATCGGGTTGGCACATAGGGTTTTAGAAGTTGTGAAAGATACCCTGGATTCCAGTACATGGATGCATTTAAAAACAAGAAGCAATACTTTGTATTGGATTATGAATTGGATTGGGAGCCAATGGAGATTTTTCATGACAGGGGTAATGTGGCCAATTTTCTTTGTTCTGCTGATCAATCTTGCCGCTGAATTCTGGACTCTCTGTAGCTTGTGTAGCACAGTCATGATTTGTAATACCACTGAGCAACGAGTTGCAGTAATCAATGCGTGATGTTACATACGCCTGCACCAGAGCACTCGTTGTTTTCTCGTCAAGGTACCTGCGGATCAGGCCGATATTCCGAATGTGGAAATAAGCGTTGCGACAAACACTGTTGACATGTGGTTCCATGCAGAGAGATGAGTCAAATACTACACCAAGATTCCGGACTTGAGAACTTGGTGTGATTTCACAGTGCCCAATGGAGAAAGTGGGAAGATCAAGTTTTGCCCGGAGCCGCTGGGGTCTGAAAACGATGAGCTCGGTTTTGTCGTCATTTAATTTCAACCAGTGCGTTGACATCCAAATTTTGATACAGTCAACACATTCCTTGACTGCTGTGAATGTGAAAAATGTTGAGGCAGAATCGAGTGGCTTGAAGAACACGTAAACCTGTGTGTCAGCGTGTCAGCCTTATCACAGTTTCGTTCCGTATATTACTACCACTACTACTACTACTACTACTACTACTACTACTACTACTACTACTACTACTACTACCACCTCTACTACTACTACCACCACCACCACCACCACTACTACTACTACTACCACCACTACTACTACTACTACTGCTACTACTACTACTACTACTACACCACCACCACTACTACTACTACTGCTGCTGCTGCTGCTACGCTGCTACTACTACTACTACTACTGCTGCTACTACTACTGCTACTACTACTACTACTGCTACTACTGCTACTACCACTACTACTACTACTACTACTACTACTACTACTACTGCTACTACTACTACTACCACTACTACTACTTCTACTACTACTACTGCTACTACTACTACTACTACTACTGCTACTATCACTACTACTACTACTACTACTACTACTACTACTACTACTACTACTACTACTACTACTACTACTACCACCACCACCACTACTACTACTACTACTACCACCACCACTACTACTACTATTACTACTACTACACCACTACAACTTCTACCGCTACTACTACTACTACTATGCCAACGACTACAATTACTACCCCAACAGCAACAACTGCTACAACTTGGCGGATTCAGGTGCAAGGGAATGTACCCGTGCAGCACGCTGTCCGACCAATATAATGGACCACGTGATATCATGAGCTCGTAACTTACTATTAGACGGTGATCATATCGGACGTGTCAGTTTTATCATAGCATGTCAGCTTAATGAGGAAAGAAAGCCCGGAGTGATACAGGCCTCAGACGCTTAACACCAGGGTAAATCCAACAAGCACGGGTATGGTGCTAAGTGAGTGAGTGAGTGAGTGAGGAGTGAGTGAGAGTGGGTGGGTGGATGGGTGGGTGGGTGGGTGGGTGGAGTGAGTGAGTGAGTGAGTGAGTGGGTGGGTGGGTGGGTGGGTGGAGTGAGTGAGTGAATGAGTGAGGTGGAGTGAGGTGAGTGGGTGGGTGGGTGAGTGAGGAGTGAGTGGGTGGGTGGGTGGGTGAGCGAGTGAGTGAGTGAGTTTTTACGCCGCTTTTAGCTTCAATTTTATTCCATCAATATCCATGTGGGAATCGAAACTAGGTCTTCAGCGTGAACCTAGAAACATAGCTGGGGCGAACTGGGATTCGAACTGAATATAGATTTTCTGACGCGCTAACCCTGAACAGCGAATTTAGGCAAATGTCCCGACTATACCTGCCAGTGTTCCTAACTCACCCCAAACCCCACCCACTCCAACCCGGGTGCGTAGGAAGACCGGGTATACATAAATGATCATGTTAACCAAAACCTTACACATATATTCAACCAACACGTATAAGTTTTAAATTAACACTATGATTTACAGCATTTTAATTTACACTCGTCTAGAGACGCAAAACAAACAACCAAACGCCAAGATGAAGGAGCCTGGCTGTTTGTGCTGAGAAGATTGATTAAAGAATCATGAGCCAACTGCATGTCACACACAAACCATTGTTTGGGAATATAGATCGTCATAAAAGGTTGGTAGGCCGCTGTGGGAGTGTCTCCAAGATGTCATAGGTATGTACTCGTTGCCACTTGCATGTTGTTGTTGTGTTTAATACCACGCGGCTTCTTGTACATACATACATACATACATACTAACATTTGTATAGCGCCGAAATCCAGCTCAGCTCGGCTGCTCAAAGGCTCTTTGTTTTTCCCTCGTTCACTGGATGTCAATCTCAAAGGCACATCGTATTGTCAATCTCAACTCCCTGGGGAGCATACAACTGTGTTGTATACTGAGAAACACCTCAATATACTGCACGTCAGTCACAAGGCTGTATGCAAAATACTTAACATTCACTTATTGACCCGTCTGCACTGAAATCAACACATTCCTTGACTGCTGTGAATGTGAAAAATGTTGAGGCAGAATCGAGTGGCTTGAAGAACACGTAAACCTGTGTGTCAGCGTGTCAGCCTTATCACAGTTTCGTTCCGTATATTACTACCACTACTACTACTACTACTACTACTACTACTACTACTACTACTACTACTACTACTACTACTACTACTACCACCACCACCACCACTACTACTACTACTACCACCACTACTACTACTACTCCTGCTACTACTACTACTACTACCACCACCACCACCACCACTACTACTGCTGCTGCTGCTGCTGCTGCTGCTACTACTACTACTACTACTACTGCTACTACTACTACTGCACTGCTGCTGCTGCTACTACTACCACTACTACTACTACTACCACTGCTACTACTACTACTACCACTACTACTACTTCTACTACTACTACTGCTACTACTACTACTACTACTACTGCTACTATCACTACTACTACTTCTACTACTACTACTACCACTACTACTACTACTACTACCACCACCACCACTACTACTACAACTACTACTACCACCACCACTACTACTACTACTACTACCACCACTACAACTTCTACCGCTACTACTACTACTACTATGCCAACGACTACAATTACTACCCCAACAGCAACAACTGCTACAACTTGGCGGATTCAGGTGCAAGGGAATGTACCCGTGCAGCACGCTGTCCGACCAATATAATGGACCACGTGATAT